CCCTCATAGCTACCTACCCCACAATACGACAGGCGCCCGCCTACATAAGACTAAATACAATACACCCACACGCACACACGCACATGGATTAAGTTAAGTGGCCCATTCATCCATCCATTCGTTGGTCCGCCCATGACACCCACGAAGTCACATTTAGGCACGAGAAAACACGAGTACGGAAACTTTGGTGTTTCTCTTTGTAATGAACGAATGATGAATAAGTCAGTACATCCATACAGACAGACAAAGACTATTGGCAATAAGTAAATAAATATCAATCAAGAAGAGACGGACCGTGCAGGCCGGCCCACCAATCATGTGCACCATTCATGTGTCCTTCCATTGTTTGTATGAATATATATGCACATGCACACATACGTGTGCACATGCAGGCCTGAGGTCACGTATATATAGAAGGATGACGCCCTTCCCTATTATATATGCGTCGTGTGAGTGTGTATGTGTGTCTGCATCGATTAAATACACAAAATCCATACGACAGACGGACAGACAACCCTATATCAACTAGTGACAACAATACAAACAGTAACTCGTGTACGCACCACAGCACAGCACAGCATAGACACACACACACACACAACACACACACGCCACCCCACTGCCATAAAAGCAGGCAGGCAGGCAGATATGAGCCACAAATCAAAATAGCCCTTGTCGGCTGATCGGACTCTATAGGCACTCCTCCATCCATTCATTGTGTGCACAGGCAGCCCCCCCACACACGCACTAGATATATGGCTTAAGCACAGACCAGCCCGAGCGGCAGACAGAGGGAGGATGATGCAGCTAGGTGGCACTGCTTTCGTCGTCACGACACCCCCGTACGCACACACGCACGCAAACCACACACACCAATGCATCACTGCACTGCATCAGTCGTTGGTCTGCGGGAGCCACACTCTGAACCAACGCACACACATACACACACACATTAGAGACGTCGCACTTGCGCCTTTTGTGTGCGCGTGTGGCATATATGTCTTTCTTACGGCTGGTTGTTCGTGCCGACGTATTGTCCGAGGTTGCAGTCGAGGTCCCAGCACTCTGTCCTCTTGCAGAGGTCCAGATCCACCTCGTCCAACACGCCCACCACTGTGCTGGTGCCGTTGCTGTCCTTGTCCATCGCAGCGTAGCTCAGGCCATGGCCAAACGGAAACAGGGGGATCTGCCCGTCGCCCACGGCTCCCTGTGACTGGCATGGGTGGGCCGGCCAGTTGAAGGACAGCTTGGCAGTGAAGTCGGCAGGTGCGGGTGTGCCACCCGTCTCCTTGGCCTCCTCCCCATCCACCACTGTCAGTGTGGGGGTGGCCACGTCCCTCCTGAAGATGAGGTCCACGAGCCCCTCCCCCGCCATGGTGCCGGGCAGCCAGGCCGATATGAATGCATCGGCCATGTTGAGCTCGGCGTTGACGTAGAGTGGCCGGCCGGTGTAGAGGATGATGATGACGGGGGTGGTGGGCGCCTTGGACCGCAATGTCACCAGCCGATCCCAGTCCTCCTTGTACAGCAGCTCCTTCCCGAAGTTGTTGGTGCGACCACTGATCACAGAAGGACAGACAGACACAGAAATGAATCAAGACACACGGCACCAGTGGTCAGGTCAATCCAGGTCAATGTGTCTGTCTGTCTCTGTCTCTGTCTGTGTGTGTGGTTTCCTCACGTGGCTCTTTTGTGCATGAGCGAGAGGTCCATGAGGTCGCCCTCGACCTCGGCGTATGGGTGTTCGGCCATGACAAGTATGATGGCGTCGAAGTCATCATCATTGGCCTCCTCCCCGTCCGCATCAAACGTCAGGCTGCCCCCGCCCGCCGTCAAGTGCTCGGTCAAAGCATCCTTCAATGATGACGCGTACTCCAGAAGCTCATCGTCCTCTGATCACACACACAAACACACACACACGCACAGGTCGACAGAGACGTTGGCGCCAGCATAGCATACCCACAAATGTATGTACCTACCTTGTCCCTGCCAGTCGAGTGACCAGGCCCCGAGCTGGAGGTACTTCTCCTCGCCCTTGCCCGCCAGGAGGACCTTCATGTCGCCCTTGAGCGGCAGCGCCCTCTCCTGTGTCCTGTTGGTGGGGTTGTTCTTGAGAAGCACCGCCGACTTCCTCACTGCGTCCTGTGCGATGGCCAGGTGCCGCGGGTTGCCCATGACCTCCAGGATCTCAGCCGCACCAGGACGGGCCGCCGGGTTGACCCTGGTGGGTGAGGGGCCGATGAGCCCCATGCGTGCCTTCATCCTCAAAATTCGCTTGGCAGCGTCGTTGATGCGGTCCTCGGTGATGTCCTTGGTCTTGGTGACGCGTGCCAGGGTCTTCTCGACGAAGCTGGTCCAGTGCGATCCGCCGCCCACAGCGATGAGGAACATGTCCACTCCCGCATTGACGGCGATGGGGCAGTCGTCAGCATCCCAAACGCACCCGTTGATCTGCTGGTGGGCGTTCCAGTCGGACAGCACCACGCCGTCGAAGCCCAGCTTCCCCTTGAGGACGTCGTTGAGGAGGTAGCCGTTCTGGTGCATCTCCCAGCCGTTGACGTCGTTGAACGAGGGCATGGTGGTGACCATGCCGGCCCGCATGCAGCCCTTGAAGGGCTCGGCGTGGACGCGGATGAGCTCCTCCTCGTCGATGTCGGCATCGCCGTCAGTGAACCCACCCATGGGGGCACCGTCCGCCAAGAAGTGCTTGCACATGCCCGGCACGTGACGGCCCCTGAGGAAGTCCTCCTCGTCCGTGGGGTCGCCCTGCAGACCCAACAGGAAGGCCTCCGCCAGCCGCGACACCGTGAAGCCATCCATGGAGAAGCTCTCGAATGTGCGGCCCCACCGGACGTCCATCGTCACTGCCGTCATGGGTGCGAGGGTCCAGTCGGCGCCCACGGCCGTCAGCTCGATGGCCGTGATGAGGCCGATGCGCTTCATGAGTGCCGTGTCGTTGGCGCACCCGAGTCCGATGTTGTGGGGGAACATGGTGCTGCCCTTGGCCATGGCGGCTCCGTGCACCGCATCCACGGCCACAATGGACGGAATGGCCGGCCGGGTGCCCTCCGCATCGCTGGCCGAGAGGTAGTAGATGGCGTCAAAGTGCTTCTGCAGATCTGTGATGGGATCGTCCAACTTGTACCCTGGACCCCACAACACATTCACCTGGATGGATACATCAACCAGCAGCAGAGGCACACACAACACGTTCAATCACCCCACACCTAGTTGTGTCTGTCTGTCCGTCCGTACCTGGTATGCTTCGAGCTGTGCTTCGGGGCTGTAGAAGGCGTCTGGTGTGAGGACCATTTGTCCGATCTTCTGCTCGGTGGTCATTTTGGCCAGAAGGCCGTCGATGTAGTCCTCCATGGGTGTGGACTGATAGATGCTGTTCTTCATACTGGCGGGCCACATGTCGCACGTCTTGGGGCCACACACCTTGTGGCGCGGCACGTCCCCTCCCAGCACCTTCTCGGCCTCCAGCAGCTCCTTCTTGAGGGCACAGGAGGTCTCCTCGTAGTCGAACGAGAAGCCGGTGCAGTTGTCGGTGAGCATGCAGGTGAACTGGCACCGCCAGGGGGTGGCGATGTTGGTGTACTCGATGACAGTGGTCGAGTTGTCCGGATACTCACACGACTCCTCCAAGCAGCCACCTATCACGCCAGCTGAAGTTAACGCGACACACAAACAAGCGAGTAAGCAGTGGTGCTGTGGTCGCTCCCCCCCCCTCACCGGTGTCGTTGCAGTACTTGGGTCCCGAGATGGAGTAGATTTTGTTGATGACTCTGTCTTGGTCAGTGTCGACATCGATGTCCTCCTCCCACATCAGGCAGCCCTCCTCGTAGTGCAGCGTCCAGCTGTGGCACTCGAGGTGCGCCTGGCACTTGAGCTGGCAGTGGCGGGGCGACGCTATGCCGGCACCAGACCGCTCGTGCGGCCACACGGCAGACCCCTTGATGTACTTCTCAGACCAGTAGCACTCGGGATCCGCCGCACCCTGCGATACCACAACCTTCTCGGCACTGGCCTCGCTGCTGCTGGTGGTGGTGGTTGCGTCGGCTGCTGTGTCAGCCGCCCTGCAGGGGATCTCCGAGGCCACCGTGGTGCCCTCCCCAGAGTATGCCGACCGCCGTGCGCCGGCGCGTTTGAGCTGGCACTGGGTGTCCTGCTTGGCGGGTGTCTCGATGAAGGTGAAGCCGTAACACTGGGGCTCCGCCGCACACGCGGCTCGGCAGGCGGCGAGGTCCGGGGCATCTTTGCCCTTGGCCACTCGAAGACTCGTGCCTAGCAGCAGGGAGCCCTCCTCCACTGTGCCGCAAGACGCCTGATTGGGTGGTGGATCAGGCGGCCGCTGCGCTGCAGCGCTGTGAAGCAGGCCCAAAGCCAGCCAAACTAGGGCACGCCGCATCACTCAGTCACAGAGGGAGGGAGGGAGGGAGGGGAGGCCTCTCCTGCACAGGCTGCAGGCGGGGTCGGGGGCGGGCGGAGCTGCAATGGTACGCTACGATGGTACGTACACACGTCAAAGGACTTGTACAAAAATGGTGCGATTTGGGCGCCTCCGGCCGGCGGCAAGTCCCGAATGAAAAGGGAAGCGCAACCGCCCGCGATCGCGGTGGCGAGCTTAACGGCGACGTCGTAAATTGACCGGGCCTCTGACTGCTGCTGTGATGTACTTCCGTGCGGTAGCGAGTTGCGATTCGTTGGAAGCCACGCCAGCGGCGAGGGCGGTCTTGGGCACCACCGATGCAGGTATGTGGGCCAGAAGATCAATAGGTCCATCCATCCATCAGATCTGTTGGTCGTTTCTCCACGCGTGCGTATGGATGGATGAACCTACAGGTTGTCAGCGTGAGGCGCTCGCCCTTTTGCAGGATGAGTGCCCTGCAGGCGACGACAAAGTGTGCGAGTACGTCGCCCAGGTGGCCCAGCAGCACACCTTCGAATTCATCGAGCGCACCACGGCGCCATTTCCCGCTGAGATGAGTGCGGACGGCGGCGGCCCTCCGCATTTCCTGTTCGAGCAGCACTGCGCACTGCCCAAAGTGCTGCAGGTGGACATAGCCAAAATCCAAGGGGCCGCAGGGGCTGATGATGATATGGACATGGACACCGGTGCTGCCGCTGACGGTTCCTCAGACCCCCTGACGGCCTACCTCACTCCTGACGACAGGGCGAGTGTCGTGGGCCACGTGTTGGCGGGCTCAGCTGCTGCAGTGGATGTGTCGTCGTGCACCACATGGCAGGCCAAGCCCCAGAACAAGCGGCCACTGCTGCACGGGGTGGCCGCGCCACCAGCCACACGACCCAAGATGTCGACCAACATCCCACAACACCACCACCAGCAGCAGCAACAGCAGCAGCAGCAGCAACAGCGGCCGCAGCCGGCGCCATTTGCCGGTGCGAGAGGCGCAGGAGGGGCGGGAGGCGCTGTGGGTGAGGAGCGCCCGGCAGCCGCACCTAAGGGTGCCTTCACCTCGGCCATGGGGCTGATGTCCAAGAAGGAGCAAGACCGCATTCGGCAGCAGAATCAGGCTTGCAGGCAGGTCAGGGAGCCAGCCAACACAGAGCCGACAGACATAGACAGATAGACAGACAGACAGACGAATTCCAGTGATGGAGAGCGTACTCTTTTGCTGTTTGCATGTGTATGTGTGTGTGTGTGCGTGTGTGTGTGTGCGTGTGTGTGTGTGTGTGTGTGCAGGGCGCGGGCGCTGCGAGTATGGAGATCGCGGAGGAGGTGGCCTACCTGCGATGATTGATTATGGGGAAGGAAGGCCTCAGATCAGGTGATGTTGATTGTGTCCTTCTGTCAGGTGCCAGGGCTTGATGAGAAGCACATCGAGGCGGCGAGGGCCATGCTGCTCACTGATGTCACTGACAAGGTAACCTAACCTACATCCCCACCCTCCCTGTTGCCCTTCGCTGTACGTACGTATGAGTGTGTGTGTACGTGTGTGCAGGTGTGTGAGAATGACATAGCTGGTCTGCAGGATGTCAAGCAGGTCAGCCAGCTCTCAGTCACACAAAAGGCATACACACCGGGCCAAGATGTGATTGATGTGTGCGTTCTCTTTCTTATGTGCAAATCACTGCCTGCAGATCATCCGTGAGGCCATTATACAGCCTCTGTGCTGCCCCAGACTCTTCGGAGGCATCATACAACCACCAAAGGTAGGCAGGTAGGTACCCACCTCCCACTCACCCACCGACCGACCGACCGACCTGGTATGGCTCACTTTCCACCGACACGCAGGGAATACTATTATTCGGCCCCCCTGGCACGGGCAAGAGTAAGTCCCGGTTGAGGGAGGGAGGGAGGGAAGGAACCAAGGAGACACACGGCACACACAAAAAGATGCCCCACACACTGTGTCTGTCGAACCCTGTCATGCCTGTCTGGTTCTGTGGATGTGTGTGTGTATATATATACGTGTGCAACGCCGATGGATCTCTAGCCATGTTGGGGGTATTAATGAAGGGGCCAGGGATCCAAATGCCACACGTGAGCGTCTGAGGTGCTGTGCTGTGCTGTCTGTCTGTGTGTGTGCAGAAGTGGATCGCCCACGCTGTTGGTGCCAATTTCTTCAACGTGGAGCTGTCGTCGATGCTCAACAAGTACGTGGGAGAAACAGAGAAGTACATCAAAGCCGTCTTCTACCGTAAGTCAGACGCAGATACACGACAGACATACGGACGGGTGTGCATACCAACACGTGTGTGTCATCCCTCAGTGGCGAGTCGTATGAGTCCTGCTGTGATCTTCATGGACGAGATCGACGCCCTGGTGGGACAGCGGACAGACAAGGAGGAGGACATCACACTCAGAATGAAGAACCAACTGCTGCAACAAATGGACGGAGGTACGCACAGACGGACGGACGGAGGGAGGGATGGCAGCTCACGTCACGACAAGGAGACATCCATAGATGTCTCTTTGCGTGTTGGCGATACCACCCAATCCAATCAGTGAGTCGCGATGGGTCCAAGGCTGTGACTGTTGTCGGCGTAAGTCAGTCAGTCAGTCAGTCAACGGGATCGTTTCATGTCCCTCCTTGTTGTTTATTCGGCCGGCATGACACTTCAGGCCACCAACCGGCCCTTCTCAATCGATGAAGCCGCACGTACGTAAGCTCTCACTGACGAGGGAGACAGACAAACAGACGGCCAGGCCAGGCAAAATGGATGGATGGATGGCCGTTTGATTGCCTTCCTTTGTGTGTGTCTGCTGGGCTGGATGCAGGCCGTCGACTGACCAAGGTGGCCGGCCTGCCTCCTGTGGCGCTGCGCTACATACCATCCATCCATCCACCCAGCTATGCTGTCCATTTGCTGTACGTTTTGTGTGTGTCTCTCTCAGCGTGTGATGGTGCCTCTGCCCGACCTGACGAATCGCATCAAGCAGATATCGCTCCTCCTGACCAAACACCAAAGCACCAACGGCAGGGTCGACATGAGCGAGGAGGACCTCAAGACAGTCGGCCAGCAGACCGAGGGCTACAATGGCAGCGACCTTGCAAACCTAGCCAGAGAAGCTGGTAAGTAAGGACCGCCACCACTTCTATATCCCTCCTGCTGTATTTATCGGTGGCATACGGATGCCTGTGTGTGTGATCAGCGTTGTATCCGGTGCGTGAGTTGATGTCTCAGTTGGGTGACGAGCTGGGCCGCGTCGACGCCAACCTCAGCATGGCCCGGCCTCTGACTCTGCAAGACTTTATCTCTGCACGCACCAAGGTCAGATAAATGACAGACAGACAGACAGACGGACAGACAGACAGACGGATGAATGAATGAATGGATCGATGGACAGATCAAGTCAGAACTATGGCGCTGTGTGTGTGTGTGTGTGTGCAGTGCAAGCCGTCAGTGGGTGCGCATGCGATGGATGAACACATTCGATTTGCGCAAGAGTATGGATCGGCGTAGCCAGGCGAAAATCGCATCACTGAGGAGCTCTTCAGTCCATGTCGTCAAGACACGCAGCCATAGTGTCCGTCACTCAATGTATGTACAATCGATTCGCATCAGCCAGTCAGCCTGTCTCATCCGCCCTCCCCCTGTGGCGGTGTGTCTTGGGCTGCCGTGAATGAGAATACTCTCTCAGCCCCACACACACCAAGATAGTCTGTCGTTGAGAGCTTCAGGCTGTGAGTCAGGCTGCCAGCGTTGAACGCAATCTGACTGTTCTCCTTCACCTACACACCACTCACACCCACAGCCAGCCCGGTGTGCCATGCAGTGCAGCCGGCATGCACGCACGTGGCAGTCAGTGTGTGCCATGGCATGTGTGTGTTGACTCACCGACGGGTCCACAAAGAGTCTGAACGGCAGTATCGGCATCCCAAAGGGCGGCACGCTGCCCGGGACACATCCACTCCCATCGGGGCTGTCCGCCTCCCTCGTCAAGTCAAGAAGCTCCTCTGCCGTGGCCAACCTCAGCGACTTGACGCCCAAGATCTTCTTAATGGCTTTGAAGTCCGCCTTTCTCGCCGCGGAGAAGACAAAGAGGCAGAAGTCATCTTTGGCCTTCATCAGGAGCGCCTTGCCACCGATTTCTAGCCGCTCGCCGCGCAGCCTGGCGCTCTCCTCACCTGAAGGAAGTCACAATGAAGAATCACAAGCAAAGCGATTGATGAGTCCCTGACAGGCATACACACATACTTGTGTATGAGGGCTCGTGGACATATTCAGCAAGGACGCCGATGTTCTTCTCTTCCAGAAACGCCCGGATGCGGCGATAGACGCCTCCCACGCTCATTTCTCAAAACTGCGAGCTTAAAGTGGAACCAAACCCTACACCCCAACCCTGTTTACCCCAACCCTGTTTTGTAGAGAGAAGACGTAAATGTTGAGTTCCGCCGCGATGGCGGGTACCACCGTCAACACCTGCATTGATCACACACACATACACACCATCGTCGGTATCCTGGCCGGCCCAACACTCAGGTATCGTGTGTCCTTGGCTTACCAAATGTGTTAGGGAAAACAGAGCTGCGACGCAGACGGCCTTGAGTAGAGGCACCTCATAGGTACACATGTGTGGCGCCGCCAGACATGACAATCGTGCCAGGACCAGCACGCCAAGGGACAGACAGCATGTCCACCTCCTGGACGAATGAAGTCAGGACCACACAGACACACTCTTCCCTGCGGCTGAATAAGTGAATGGGTCGTTCCTCCACGTACCATGGCCGCATTAGCTCCCCAGTGACGTGACACAGCTGCAGGTGCATCTGAGAAACCGCACCGCAACAAAGACACACACGGAGGGGCATACATACCCTCTTGTGTTGTGTTGTGTGCCCGACTGACCACGAGTTTGCAGTGCATGAGTGACATGAAGTAGAAGCACATCCGGGGGCACGTGTGCCAGAGTGAGGGGTGGCCGGGCGGCCTACCACTCCCTATCCACCACACCGCAAACACGTGCACACACAACCACGGCACCAAATGCTGCACTCACACGCGCACGTACGTCCGTATGTCCGATTTGCACAGCTGTGTTCGGCCTCTCTTTCAGTGGCTTACCAGCAGTGCGTCCGTGAGTGAGCACTCAGGTGGTCCCCATTGCCGCCTGGCACCCGTGACGCCATTGTACTCCGCTGAAGCTGCAGACACCGCCGTCCTCTTGCGAAGCATCATGCCGTCCGGATGGCCGTTCTGGTCATGCTGCTCCAGACGCGTGCGGGGGGCATGTAGGGTGCCGTTGAGCACCGGTTTCCTCTTGGCCTTGCGGCCGTGGATGTGGGTGGCGACCCGCCATATGCTGAGGGAACGAAAGAGGAAGGAAAGGAGGTCTCCTTCTGTCGGTAGACTAGACGGGTTCTCTTTCGATGCTGGCTGGCTGACCTTCTGCCGCATGTGAGCACGACCCCCACGGTGTGCCAGAAGAAGCCAAACTCACGATAATCCACACCTGGCAGCAATGGTACCTGAGGCACACACACACACACACACACACATGTACACGTATACGTACGGGCAAACGTATCCTTCCTCTTTGTTTCCATGTGATCGCCAGCTATTCATTCCCTCCCGCCTGGCCTGATTGACTCACTTACTTCTGTTGTCCAGAACTCCTCTGAGTCGGGCACCGCCCCCGCAATGAGGTGTACTATCGACAGCAGCAACATGCCCTCAGTGGGGCCATTCACCACAGGCAGATACAGACACCCTGCAAACCAACGGCACCCCAGTGTTCGCTCACGAGTGCTCATGGTTGCCTCACCAGTCAGTACTTACCTGTGTGGTAGTGTTCCCATGATGCGAACAGGAATGGTGCAGCGCCGCCCAGCCAGCAGCACGCCGCCAGGAGGGGCTGCAGGGGCGGCCCCAACTGCAGCGACGCCATCGCTGTCATGCCGCCGATGGCTGAATGAACCGCATCGCAACCTGACCAACACACGTCACATGGCTGCATACATCAAGGCATCCTCCTGTGATATGCTCGTGGTGGTGGTGGAGTGTGTGGCTGACCGTGGTCGAATGCGAGTCCCAGTGCTGAGGAGCTGTTGGTTCGCCGCGCCTGCTTGCCGTCCATGTTGTCAAACGTCTGATTGACGAACATCATCACTCCCGCATACAAATGCACCCTGCACACATGCGTAACGACACACACGACCAGAGGAACAGACAGACAGACAGACGTGTGGCTGGATCGATGGATGGATGGGTGGCCATGAGTGCCTACCAGTATGGCATGGGCTCGCTCAGGGTGGGCGAGTAGTAGAGGGCCAACAGATGGGAAGACACCACCAGCAAGAAGCCAATGAAGGATATCTGAACACGAAAGTACACTCACCCTATGCACTCACTGCAATCACTGTCATCTGTGGAAGCTTGATCCACCCACCAGGTTCGGGGCAGCCCATGATGGGCAGCAGTGCAGGACGAGCAGGTCAGCGAGGGGCGATAGGGCGTGTTTGTACAGGGGCGAGGGATCATCGCCCTCATATCGATAGCTGTGCAGCCGCTCAAGACCCTCGGCGCCGATGTAAGGCTGCTCGGCACTGTGTGACAACAGGCATCTCCATGTATCTTTCAATTCATGACGGGATCTGTTGCCTTCTCTACAACGCATCTCCGTCCTCAACAAAATCTGTCCACGGCGTCACTCCCTCTCATAATAGCTCGCACTTTTGAAGGGAGGATGACGTCATTTGGAAGCTGCCGCCATGGCGCGGCAAAGCTGTTCATGCTGAAGGTGAGAAAAAACACGAAGATCTGCCAAGATCAGCTGATGAACTGGTGTGTCCGTTTGTGTGTGGCAGAATCCTGCCGGTTCTGAGATAGAGGCCGTGAGCATCACAGACTATGGAGCCACAGTCGTAGCTATCCGGACCAAAGACAAACACGGAAAGTAAGTTGGTTAACTGGAGAGAAGGACGAGACGTGCATCGCGCGACTATGTGTGTGTACACTTTCAGCTACGGTGACATCGTGTGCGGATTTGACAGTGCAAATGACTACGAGACCCAGAGTAAACAGATCACATGCTGTGCGCCGACACTCAGGTGTTCGCCGCTCTGCGCGTCGTGTGTTCATTTCCTGTAGGTCCATACTTTGGTTGCATTGTTGGTCGGTATGCCAACCGCATCAGTGACGCAACCTTCACCCTTGACGGCCGCACCATCAAAGTCACCAAGAACGACCCTCCCAACATGCTGCACGGCGGGGCGGAGGGCTTCGATAAGAAACTCTGGCGCATGCTCGATGCATCCGACACTCAGCTGAGGCTCGAGTATGTCAGTGCCGACGGTGAGGAGGGCTTTCCTGGCGAGCTCACCGTCACTGCCACATATCGGTTGGAACCAAACTGTCTGCGGCTCCACATCGAGGCGACGACCAAGGCCAAGACGGTGGTGAGTGGGGATGGGAGGGGGACACGCGCACGCCAAGGATGACGAGCTCGTGTCGACGGATGGATGTTCCGCCCGTGTGTATGTATGTGCAGGTCAACTTGACCAATCACTCGTATTTCAACCTCGAGGGCCACGGCGAGGGCACGATACTGCAGCACGAGCTGCAGATCGAGGCGGGCAGCTTCACGCCCATCAATGAGGTGTCCATCCCACTGGGCGCCATACGGCCTGTCGAGGGCACCAACTTCGACTTCAGCGCCCCCACACCCATCGGCGACCGCATTGACAGAGGCGACACGGACGACCAGCTCAAGAATGGACTCGGGTGGGTGGGTGGGACAAGGCCGATGGGAGCCACCGATGTGCGTGTCACGTCTATTGGTTACTGTCCTGTGATCATTTAGGTATGACCACAATTTCTGCTTGCGAGGCGGCCTGGTGTCTTCGGCCCGTCGCGTGGCCACGTTGAGGGCGCCGATGAGCGGTCGTGTGATGGAGGTCCACACCAACCAGCCTGGCATCCAATTCTACTCGGGAAATTTCCTCGACGGTACACCCAGCCGACGCATCTCGTGTGTTGTATTGTGTTGTGTGTTTTATCAGGTACGCTGGTTGGCAAGGGCGGCAAGGTGTATCCCTATCGTGGCGCCCTGTGTCTGGAGCCGCAGCTGTTCCCAAACAGCCCTAATCAGATCGACTTTCCCTCGTGTATCCTCGAGCCAGCCGACACTTACATACACGACATTGCATACCATTTCGCACACGGATAATTAACACACCAGAGGAGGGAGGGGGGGGGGGGAGCGGGCATAT